GAAGTGCCCGAGCGCTCTTTGCTATTTGTCGAATAACTCAAAAAGTAATTATCGGATCAACTTAAAATTTTCAGAGATTATTTTCAAGATATTATACTTATCGAAAATTCGGACTACCCCCAACCCTCTAAGTCTAATATTTTCAAACAATCGACTATTTTTTTCGGCTAACATTTAGGATCATAAAACCATTATTCAATAGGTTGAATAGTGAAGCAAGAAAATGTTCCTTGTTCAATCCGTTGTTGTGTCGATAGGCTCGGGTCAGTTAGCTTCAACTGTTTTGAAACTGTATTTTTCAAATGATGGTACTCGGAAACTATCGCAGTTATCAATTTGAAGTTTTACCGATAGCTCATTAACGACGTAGTTTTCTAGATAAAAACTCTGTACGATATTGTTAACAGTCCTTTTTTAATTTTGCTAGAAATTGTTTTAAAGCTTAGAGAAACATATGCAAATTCGATGTGTATTAATATTCTTTTTATTTAGTTTCAGATAACAAGAGTCCTTAAAATCCTCATCGTCCGTAGAGGTCCAAAGACTGACCCAGTAGCTCCCCAAAACTTTTTTGCAAATTTTTTGTTCAACAATTAACTATAACGCCAATATGAATTGCCATCACGTAATGCATGTATATCTTCCCGGGATCCAAATATTTTATATATAAAATTAGTTTATAAACATAAAATATTTTCAAAATTTAATTTATTACAATTTCCCATTAGTCCATACACATGTCGAGCACTCATAATTTGCACTTCTTCTTCTTCCTAACACGCGTTCTCCTTGCCGCAATTGATACATAACCGCCAACGTACCAAATCAACGCATGTCAAAAACAATTCCAGCAACAACAAGAACACAACTAACAAAACATATGTGTATCCAACCTCACACACACAAGCAACAACAAAAACAAAACAAAATCATAAATTGCAACAAATGCCATGGCAATAAGAGCTACACCGAAAATCGCCTCAGGCGAAAATCGTCAAAAGGCAACGGCGGACATTGCGCGCGAGCATCGATGCTCGTGTTGACAGGCGAAACCAAAGCCAAAGCCAGAGCTAGCTAACGGCGCACATTGAAGAGCAGTCTCGAGCGGCAGCAGCCGAGTGAAGTGGGCGCAATGTGGTGCGGTGGCAGAGTGGCATCGTGTAGCGGTTAGTAGTGGTGGAACCCCACCCCAGGGCAAAGCGATTTAGTTGTACAACAAGAAAGCAAGCATAAATGGCGATGAAGAGTGAATGTAACAAATGTAATTGCGATATGTCAGCAGCGGCAACAACTACAACAATGAAAATATTAACAACAACAATAATAATAACAGCCGCCGCAGCGAATAGAGTAATTTTTACAATCAAGCAAAGAGAGCGTGCAATAATAATTGTTGTTGTTGCAATAATCGGAGCATTGCTTGTCATGTTGCAAGCATGCATGTATGTGTGTTTGTTTGTATTTGCGTAAGTATGTAAGCAAGAAGATTGAAACACAAACGCCAAAGTTAATCACAAATGTCGCGTTCATTTACGGCTGAGAAGAGTGCGTACTCATTGTTGTTGTTGTTGTTGCTATGCTTTTGCTTATTAGGGCGGAAGAGGCGTGCAGGCAAGCGTTTGATGAAGTTGCCACACAAGCAAGGAGGACAACAATAGCTTATGATGGCCAGGTGCTGGTGAGCAAATTGGAAGAAGTATAAGAAAAAACTACAACAAATGTGTAGAGAGCATTAAACAGAGAACAGAGCGCATGAGAGTAACTGCATATGTGAAGACAATAATTTTGAATATTTTCTATTTTCTTAATTCAAAAATGTATTTACTTCAATTCCAAATATTAACAACAAAATTTACAACAATAAAATTTCATTGAGAGGGCCCACTAAAGCCGAATAGAGAGCTATAACATTAATTGAGTTGTGCGAGAGCGCCGTAACAAACGCATTAGTGAGAGAGAAACCAATATGGTTCGAAACTAAGCAAAAAGAAGAGCTAACAGTAAAGGCGAGAAAGAGCCAGCAAAAGTACAGACAAACACGCCCACTTTGAGACCTGTAGATAAGGCGCTATGCCGCACAGTCATACATTTCTACATAAAACAGCTAAGTCGAAAGTGTTGAAAAGAAACGGGGTGTGGAAAATCGAAAGGAGTTCGGGCTCTACGCTCTACGTGCGTTGAAAAGAAATGGAGGGTGAGAGCATGTGTTGTTGTAACTAACTACATTTGCTAAATACCCCAAGTGATGGGCGCTGAAATGCTACGCGGTTGAGTGCCTCGCTGCTGTTGTTGTTTTTTGAGTTGGTTTTTTGTTTTTTTGTTTTTGCAATGGTAGACACGACACAGTTGTCAAAAGCGCGTTTGACAGCTCGCCGTAATAGAGTCATATCGGACGGTAACAAGCTTTGTCGGTGTGTCGCACGGCGGAAGTGGGTAGTCGCCGAGAGCAGCAACGTAATATAGATACATCTATGGTATAAGAGTATGTAATAATTAAAAAAAAAACAAAGCGCGTTCGCATAATTGAATTAGGATAACAATGTACTAAAATAATAAAAATTATGAGTGCATCGGTTTATTTTGATAAGTTATGGTTTAAATGTTCGACTGAAGTGGTTTGTTTATAATGTCATAACGTGAGGATGTTCAGGAAGTAACGCACCTATAAACTTATTTTAATAATAAAAATATTTTTGCTCAATATGTATATAAAAGCAAGTAGACAGGCATATTATTTGAAAAATATTATTATATGTATATTCGGAAATAAGAAAATACAGTTACGACAATATATGTGTGTGTACCTCATTAAATTGCGACGAATTAAAATAGTACATCATTAAATTAATCAGAGTAATATCAAAGTCCAAATATATATAATACATGAACATACATATGTACATACATGCATACAAGGTTTCATCAGAAATTCATAAATGTGAAAAATATTTTTAATTCTCTTCCTGAAAATATTTAATTTTTACTTTTATGAGAAATCCTTCTTTATTTTTGAATGCAGCCCTGATTTGTGCATTAGACATACAAACATTTGTATATATGGTAGATATTTAAAAATATAATAATGTATCGTTCTCAAAATAGATTTGGCATTGGAATAGCATAATTGTATCACACAAATCTAAGTGGGCCTGCAGGGTTGCAAAAAATATATTAAACAATAATTAAATTAAAAATTAAGTTATAAAAAGAAATTGAATTAACAAATAAAATAAAAGTTTTTAATTATGAAAATCTTAATTAAAAATAAAAAAATTCAAATCCCAAATTTCGGATTGAAAAATGAAAAGTAAATTTTTAATCCCAAAAAGCGGATGAAAAATAAAAAATGAGAAGTTTAATCCTAAATACCGATATGAAAACTTAAAAATACATTTTGAATCATAAAAGTCGGGTTAAAAATAAAATCTTTAAAATATTTTTAATTAAAAATTTAAGAAATTGTGTTTTTGAAAAATAAAAATTAAAATTTTAATCCTAAACGTCAATTTGAAAATTTACAAACTTCTTATTAATCCCAAGATTCGGATGAAAAAATTTATATTTTAATTCTACATACTGGAGTAAAAATAAAAAAAAAATTATATATATTTGTTATTCCACTTTTTGTATTAAACAATTTTTTATATGTTTTAAGTTTTTATTTTTGGATTGAAAACTAAATTTCCATTATTTAATTCCAAATGTTATTTTTTAATTAACATTAAATATTTGATCCAATATGTTGTAATTAAAAAATTCTCAACCCTGGCTCTGATTTGTATCGATATTAAATAAACTTATAAAATATAAATTCAAATTTTATTCCTAAAATTGGTTTTGAATTGGAATAATATTGTTACAAAATTATAAAAGCAGAGTAAGCTTATGTATCTTTCTTCTAAACTCCATTTCAAACATTTTTTTAAATTTTTTTTTTGTTTTTTTTTGTTTTTAAACCGCCATTTAAATTAAATTTTTCAAATTAAGGGCTTAAAATATGTTTGATTTATGATCATTTTAGAAAAAGTGGCTAAAGCGCAATATTAAATTCTTTTTCATACAAAGTTCCAAGTGATGGATTCTTTATGCATTATTTTCAACTTTTCCTTTTAATAATTTTCCCCCAAATTTTCGAATTACAATTAATAAATTATCTCCAAAATCAAGAGCATTTTCTTCATATATAGACTATTTACTAAATATAAAATCTACATAACAACATCTAAATATGTACATAAAATATTTAAAGATGTAAAACAACAATATTCAATATTTTTAAAAAATTTTATTTTATTGTTTGTGACATAACGGTTGTTTTTCGCACTTAACGTCAGCAGCTTCACTTAGAAACTGTAAACCAAAAAAATATTTATATTTTCGAACAAAAAAAAATTTTACAAAAAAATATTTATATTTTCAAACAAAAAAAAAATTTTACAAATTTTCTTTTTATAAAACCTACACATAGTTATAAAAAATTTAAATTATTAGTTTTAAATATCCACATACATATATGAAATCAGCTACGTTAATGTTTCAAAATATTTTATACGAAAATCTACAAATGACAAATAAAAAATTAAAAACCACTGCTTAAACAACAAACGTTTAAAAAAATAATAATATGTAATAAAAAAAAATATAAAAAATATCAGTACATTTTTTGAACAAACCCCCAAACAGTTACAATAATTTTACATGCGACAGAGTGCTAAAAAATATATGTAAATATTACTATTATTCATAGGCAAATTAAGTTATACGTGCGAATTCATACGCGTTCCCAATAAAGAACTCATCAACCGCCGCTAAAGAAAAAGAAAAAAAAAACACTTAACAACACATAGTATCGTCCTTAGCTCAGCTTCTTAACTAGCCAGCCGGCGAAGCATAAGCAAAGCAAGTGAGAGCTTATCAAGCGAACGCTCAGTGCCGCATGCAACAACAAGCCACAAGCAGCGCGTCAGGCTGTCACACAGCGTTACGCTAACTATCAGCTGCTCATCAGCATATCAGTCGTTGCGGAAGCTTACGCCAGAGCAGTTCTAACAAATCTGTCCAAAAGTAAAGTAATCGATCAACAGTGCGGTCAACAGTGAGACATAAAAACTGTAACAGAATTCAAAAAAAAAAAAGAATCACAAACAACAATTTGCGTTTCGAAGCCAATCAGTCGCTCGGCATATCTGTCAAATTGTCCGCCTTCGTAGCGTAAGCAAACACACACATAGCGCTGTAAGCGTACGCGCTAGTACAACAACCAACCACCACCACAACTCAGCCTCCAATTGTGCCGTGGCAACAACAAGCAGCAGCGCACATAGGCGTGCTCACTCGCTCCCACAGCATTGAGGGCTGGTATATGGCTGGCTGTGCGTGCGTGCGCGCTCGCTGTGTGTGAGAGAGAGTGTAGAAGCTGCTCGTTGGCAGCTAGTTTGACAGCCTTAACAGTTCAATCTGCCGTGTGACTGCCTATGACTGTCGCTCAACGTTGCTGAAGTCGTCATCGTCGTTTGCTGGAGTTGTCGCTTCGCTGGGACGATAAGCAACTGTGATTAGTTAATTTACTCGTTGCGTTCGCCGTGAACAGACGTGTGCGTCGCAGTCGTGTGTAACAGTAGTCGAAAGCAAGCAAGTAGACAAGCAAAGAAGAAGTAGAAAAACGAAATAAACGTGTTTACCTCGTCGACCAAGAAACAAGTGGAAGCAAAGTGGACCGAGCAGTGCAAGCGTGAACGCCTACGGTTTACCGTTAACAAAATATAACACGAATATTTCAAGTGACAAGTGTTTGAATACTAAAGATACATTACCAAACATTTTTAAAAATAAAAAATAAATTCTGAAATATTTTATTCAAAAATTCGACAAACACACCAATGCAAGTGTGACATTTTCTGCAACTTTCCAATTGTGCAAAATAAAACAAAATATTATTAAACTCCGCGTTTTCCACAACGTCGCTGAATCAAAACCAAAATTGCCACGCCGCTACCAATGGCCCTAGAGGATCGCTGCAGTCCGCAATCTGCTCCAAGTCCACCTGGCCTACCGCAATCACCGCACCAGCCTCAACGCCTCAGCCAACAACAACAGCAAATACAACAACTGCAATATAGCCCAACTGCCGGCAGCACCGTTTTGGACATGAGTCTGCATACACATCCGCCGCCACCACCACCACCACATGTGGCCACGGCTACTCCAACGCCCACAATGTTGCCACATCCTGTAAGCGCGGCCAGCAATGCCGCCGCTGCTGCTACGCTCTATCACCAGCACCAGCAATTGCAGCATTTGCATCATCTACAACAATTACAACAACTACATCAGCAGCAATTGGTGAATGCCGCCGCTTTCCATCATCATCCCGGTTTCGATGCGGCTGCCGCGACCGCTTTAGCGGCGGCCAATCACGCTGCCACATTGCATCAGCGTTTGGCGGCCTCACCAGGCGCGACCTCCACACCGTCATCCACACCCGCTTCGACTATGACGATCAAGGAGGAGGAGAATGACTCGATTATGGGTGATAGTTTTCATGGTGATGCGCTTGCTGGTAGCACGCAAATGCGTGGTAACACAACGGAGGATGACGATGCGGAGGATGAGGCGGAAGATGAAGAGGACGATATCGATGTGGATGATGTGGATGATGCAACACCGAATGGGGCTACACAACGTACACCGCCACCCGCACATCAACAATCCGCCAAACCAACACTCGCCTTCTCGATCTCCAATATACTTAGCGATCGTTTTGGTGGCAATGAAGCGGGCAGTCGCAACGCCAATGAGTCGCTTGGCGCCAGCGCCGCATCAAAACAAGCGCATTTGCATACGAATAGCATTTTCCGACCTTTCGATGCCGCACGCTCCGCCACACCATCTGCCTTTACACGCGTCGATCTGCTCGAGTTCAGTCGACAGCAACAAGCGGCGGCCGCCGCCGCCACTGCGGCTATGATGCTGGAACGCGCCAATTTCTTGAATTGTTTCAATCCAGCCGCCTATCCACGCATCCATGAGGAGATAGTCAACAGTCGCATGCGACGCAGTGGTGTCCTGCCACCAAACGCTATGAAAAATGGTGAGTCTGGTGCAAACGCTATTTCAACTACTGCCGTCGGCGGTATGGGCGCTATGGAAAAGTCCGCTTTAGGCTCACTTTGCAAGGCAGTCTCACAGATTGGTCAAACTGTCTCCGCGCCAGCCTGTTCAAGCGCCTCCTCTGCGGCCAGCGCATCGAGCATAGCCAGCCCGCCACCCGCTTCCAATGCATCAAGCGCGTCCTCGTCCACATCGGCGGGCAGCTCACTCAATTCATCGCCCAGCAGCCGCAACTTGCCCAGCAAAAGCAGTAGCCCGCAGCCTATACCGCCGCCATCGGCTGTGAGTCGGGACTCTGGCATGGAATCGTCCGATGACACACGCTCCGAAGCCGGCTCCACGACCACGGATGGTGGCAAGAATGAAGTGTGGCCGGCGTGGGTGTATTGTACGCGCTACAGCGATCGACCAAGTTCTGGTGAGTGAGAGTTCTCAGTTTTATTTAAAAAGTTTGATTTTTAGAGGGTTCAGAAGCGGAAAACTATGTGTGAGGTTATACTAAAATAATTTTTAATTTAAAAATTTTATTTAAAGTGAGGTATAGATTATTTGCGAAAGAGAAATGTAATTTTAAGTCTAAGTCCTCTAAGTGGTTGTCTAAAAAAAGGGTCGGAAGCCTTTTCTTCACTTTCTCTTATAATTTATTTGAAGGTCAATTGATTTTGTTTATGTATATCATTTTTGATATTTTCGTATTGGACATTTTACAATAAAAATAACCACTCACACATATGTACATACATATACATATACACTCACAACTATTCGTAACCTGAAAAGTATCTCAAATTGCTAGTAATAGTATCCATGAAATAAAAATCTCATATACTCGCAAGGTCAAATCCGGAAAAAAGTTACTGTAAATGTTCACATTATGATAAAGCAAATTCGAAGGACACTGAAGGACTCACACATAGTGGCGACTTTCGGCATATCCTTCGATTTCAAAGGGGCCCCATGCTGTGTCACGTATCAATGTTTACATAGCAAGCCTGTCAATAGCTGTGCGAGTGTGCATGTGCACTTATATTTATGTGTTGCTTTGATGCTTAACCGCTATGTGACAATTTCATGTGATAATAAAAGAAAAAAAAGAATTCTTTTTTAGAAAGAAATTTCATATAAAAGTCTAGGTTGAAAAATTTCTATATGTATATAGTATATACATTGTTTTTTATATAAGTCATTTTTATATGTGTAACTGTAAATACAAATATTTTTCTTTTCACATTTGTTGAACATTAAGTCTAAAGGCAACAATAAATATAAAAAAAGCTTTAGCAAATAGCGGTAATTAGCACCTTCACAGTTAATACAAAACATTTGCAAGAATAAATTTACCAACAAACAACAACAAACAATTACTAAAATATGCAAAATAGTAGCGTTCAACTCCAGCCACACTCAAAAACGCTGCCCACAAGCTCACAATCAAGCGCCGTTAACTTACAGCTCCGCACATGCTAAACTTCTAAGCAGCAAACTATGGCTGGAAAGCAACTAATACAAGCGTTTAGCAGCTTCGACGCTTAAAATTCACTTTCCACTCTTCTAACTTTACTTCAATCCACACTTGCAAGTGCTTGTTGTTGCTGTTGTTGGCGTTGAATTGTTAAATTCTTGATTTGCTAATTGCAAATGACTTAATAAAGCAGCTAAGCATCTTCAAGCGTTTGTTTCGCAACGCTCAAGCTGAGAAAAATTAGAATTAATCGGCGCTTGGCGTTAATAATAAGCAGCTACTAAAGTGTGCAACAACAACAAAAACAACGTGCATATTAAAGTGGCCGCTTAGCGGCAATTAGCAACTAAATTATAGGGTTCATCTGCGTATGCATGTGCATGTGTATGTGTGTGTTGAGAAAACGGAAGTTGCAACGCGAAGGCTTCAGGTGGTAACTTTGAGCTGCAGTGCAGTTGGCGGTTGGGGGGACTCAGTGCCTGATCACTTAGATTCAAATAAAATCAAATTTATGCAGTTGCTTTTTTTATTTACCGTAAGTTGTGAAAAAGTGTTGATTGTACTTCAAATTGCTATGGCGAATGGCAAAAATGGCTGATTATGAGCAATTAGTTATTTAATTGTAATTAATGGCGAAATTATGCGCTGATTTAAAATTAAATTGTGAGCTTAATTTGTATATTAAATTTTTTATTTATTAATTTATTATATATTTAAACTTTTTTATATTTTTAAATACTTCTTTTAAATTTTATAATTTTTTATTGAAATTGGAAACTTAAAATTTTTTTTATTTTTTAAACCAGTCTTTAAATTTTTAAAATTTTTTAAAGCTTTTTATATATTTTACACTTTTTTATATATTCGAATTCTTTCTTTATATTTTCTAATTTATTATTTATTGAAATTGAAATCTTCGATTTTTTTTGTTTTTTCTTTTTTAACCGCAGTCTTTAAATTTTTTAAAGTCTTTTATGTTTTTTTATGGTTTTATATATTTTTTGTATATATATTTAAATACTTCTTTTATATTTTTTATTATTATATTCTTAAATTTGATTTAAGTTTTTTAAACTGCAGTCTTTAAATTTTTTATATTTTTTTTATTTTTTTTTTTGTATTTTTACATTTAACAAATATTTAATTTGGTATTTTTTTATTGTTTTATTGCAATTAAAGTCGTAATCAGTGCGGAATTTTTAAAATTGCCACATGCAGCTTATGCAATTAATCAATAATTGAGTGTGATTTAATTGGAACAGCAAAAACTGTACAAACACACTTTTATACACATATGAATATAAATATACATATATGTATATAAGATATATAAAAGCTGTCTGACTTTGCTTCTTCTTCTTTTCAAATTTTTTTATATTTTTTTTCGTTCTATTTTTTAACTAGCTACAAATTTATCACTCACTGCTCATTTTTCAATCAACATCAAATTAAAAATCAATTCAAAACCATAAAAATGCACTTAACTCATCAATTAACGGCCGAAAATAGCAGCAGAGAAGTGTCTTGTATTAAATTTGAGTTGTGTGCGAAGAAAGCAAGTATTTCTCATATGAAGACATATGGAAGTAAATATGTAGATACATATGCACATATGCTCATATGTATGGGTTTGTGTGTGTTTTTGTGTATAGAAAGTAATTTGAAGTAGGCAACACAACCTAAACACTTAGAAAATAGTGGAGTTAGTTTACAAAACTATATGTGGGAGTATACATATGTATATATTATAACACTATATATGCATGTTGACCGTTTTTCAATCAATAAAAGACGAGTATGCGATGGATATACTTAGCTTGTATGTAAATATACGTACATTTGTATATATTGAATATGGTAAAATGTAGAAGTAATTTTTACAAGTAAACTGGACCACTTTCGGTTTTTAATTTTATTAATTATTATTTTTCTATAATTTTTGGAATGAAGTCAAAGGCATAACTTAAAATTATTTTTGAAACCTTGAAAGAAAAAAAAATATCAATAATTTTTCTATAAAACCAGAAATATATGAAAAAATATACATATGCAACCAGAAATACCTGACAGCAGAGAAATTATAAGGCGACGGCGACAAGTCAAACGCTAAAGAATATACTAACTAAGCAAGTTAATTCAACGCTTAGCCAGTTTATATAATTAAAACATAAATAAAATTAATTATTACATTGAATGATAATTTTGACATTTGCCAGCGGAACAGTGAATAAAAAGCGAAGGCGGCAAAGCGGCAACGTACAAAGGCTAAACAAATGCTGATTACACAACTACATAGACATACAAGCAACCATAGCTAGACTTAGCGAATTGTCCTTTTTATGATTTATTTACGGTTTTTACTTTTATTTTTGCCATGCAGTAATTGTTCTGTGTAAACTTGCCGCCTACGCGCTGTTTGTTGCATGCAACTGACTGTCTGTCAACGCCTGACAGCTGACATATTGACATGTGCCACGCAATGAAATTCCGCTTACATGCATACTTACACACATGTATCTAAGTATATAACCATATTAGAATATATTTATATAAATATGTTTGTATGTATTTGCTTCACTTGTATGCAACTTTTGATGGAATTCCTGTGAAATATGCTTTAATTTCTTATTTAATATATCAGTTAACGCGTATTATGCTAATTCTCATGTGCCTTTTCTGCTTGCTTGTATTGCAGGTCCACGCTATCGTCGCCCCAAGCAGCCGAAGGACAAAACTACTGACGAGAAGCGACCGCGCACCGCCTTCTCCAGCGAACAGTTGGCACGTTTGAAGGTAAATATTGAAATGCTTATTATAAATTAAATATTTTGTAATTCTTTTTGTTTAAATTTAAATTAATTGGAATTGATTGAAAAGTGAGAAATTATTTTTACATTTTTTTTAAATTTGCAAAAATCAAATGAAGGCATTTTAAGATTACTTTTTAATTAATAATAAAGACAAAAAATTAATATATGACTTTAAAAAAGGAACTAATGATAAACTAAAAATATTAAACTAAAAATGATACTTTTGGAATTAAAAAAAATTAATTAATTTCATTAAACTTCTCTTCTTAAATAATTACAATAAGTTTTCCAAAAATATTAATTAATTTAATTAATCTTCTTTTTGTAAAATTGTAACTTTTTAGCACATTAGCAGCATTAAGAAAAATAATAATTTTCGAATTAAAAAATAATAATTAATTAATATATAGTAAAAAATAATAATTTAAATTTTCTGCTTAATTTAAATTCAAATAAGCTTCTTATTGCGATTGAAAATTTTTAAGAGATTCATAATAATGAAGTATGCGTTTTTCTAAAAATTAAATTAAAGAACTTTACTCAAAACTAAAAAAAAATTAATACTATCAAAAAACTAAATTTTTTAAATAAATTTCTTTCCTAATATTTACCATTTTTTTAGCATTTTAGGCGAAGTTTAAACACATATGAACTTTGATATAATATTATCAAAATAAAAAAAAAATTAATTAATTTTATTAAACTTCAATCTAAAATTTTTTTAAATTAAAATTAGTTTCAAAAATTGTAAACACTAATTATTTAATTTAAATAAACTCCATTTTTTAAAATAACTAAACTTAAAAACATTTAAAAAATAAATTTAATTTAACTTTTTTTCAAAAGCATTTTAAGCAAATTAAAAAATTTATTTAATTAAATTTCAATTCTAAAATTAATATATATAAATATATATATGAAGTCAATTAAACTTCAATTCCGAGATCGACTATATTTTTTCAACATTTACAACATCTCCAAGCATATCTAATTGCCTGCATCCTTGTTAAAAATAAAATCCTTCTGAAACCGACTATTTACTTATTGCCTCCATATTTACAAAATATTTACTGAACTCAAGAGCACGCTTACTGGACACCCGTTGCGCATGGCGAATAAGAAAAAAACTACAAATACAATTTCTTTCAAAACTATGTAGTATAAGCGAAGAATGTAAATATTTTGAGCGCAGAATAGTTAAAAACAGTTAGGCTTATCTGTCAAGCCAATTAAACACGCCTCTGACACACTGTGCAGGAAAAAATTACATTCAAGAAGATTACGTGCTGAGCATGCGGCAACCGCAACAAATACACATGCTCATGCACGCATATGCAACAATCGGCAATCTAATGTCGATGTATTCAAATACATATATGTACATGTGTATAAATATGTGCTTGTGTGTGTGCTGGCAGCTCATTGCTCGGCCTCAACTGCTTAACTGCCTCCGTTGTCCTGTTGTCTCCGGTCTATGCCGCCGATTAGCTATGGTCAATATATTATTTTCACTACTAGAGGCATTTCGAAGATTTTCCATTTACCTTTCAGATTTCTTCCGCTGACCTGCCCTTTGAGACTGCGCAGCATTTAACCGCAAATAATTGATTCGTGTTGCCTGCTTTTTGTTGATGCTTTTGTCTACTTAGATTTTGAAGAATTATCTACAAACATATATTATACATATTTATAGAAGAATTCTTCAAAAAAAATTATACTGTTTTACGCACACAGCTCATTAATTGTTCGCTATTTTTCTATTATTTTTTTGCAGCGCGAATTCAATGAAAATCGTTACCTCACCGAGCGTCGTCGTCAACAGCTGAGCGCCGAATTGGGTCTGAATGAGGCGCAAATCAAGATTTGGTTCCAGAATAAACGCGCTAAAATCAAGAAATCTTCAGGCTCGAAAAATCCACTCGCGCTGCAGCTAATGGCACAAGGTCTCTACAATCACACCACAGTGCCGTTGACGAAAGAAGAGGAGGAGCTTGAGATGCGCATGAACGGACAGATACCGTAAGCATCACTCTAAAGAGAGGAGCAGTGAGCTGAAGTTGTAGTTCATAGTTGATATGCGTATGCTCTGAGCTTCAGGTATTTCAAACGTGACGACGCGTGCAATAATTAGAGTAGGGAGGGGCGAGTAACAGTTGCAAAAGCGATGTAAAGTATGAAAATTATAAAAAAAAGATTATAATAAAAGTTTGTTATGTGATATAAATATACATGCACGTATGTATGTATATGAGAAAAGCAAACATGATTTGAGAAACATAAATTTAAAAAATTATTTAAAAAAATGTTAAAAATAAAAAAAATTACAAATCAATAAAAAAATTAACTATTGTAAATACTAGTTATAGTTTCTTCTTTATACTCAAAATTCTACTCTTCGTACATTTAGTATCCTAAAATATCGCTTACGCGACACTCCCCGCTCACAAAATCGCAGCACTGGCTGTTTTTTCATTTCTTGTAATAAATTGTAAATTATTATATTTATTAAAATTAGTTAAGTAAATTACATATTTAGTTGTAAAATTATGCGTTTTATTCATTTACATTGTAAATCCAGCATCCCCTGCCCCGCATAACCACACACGCACACACACCCACTTTTACCTGCAATTGTATTATAGCAACATTTTATTTTTGTCTGCTACATAGCTTTTAAGTAAATTAAATTTATTTGTTTTTATTTTGCTGTTTTTGTAGTGGTACTTTTAGCTTAACTTTTAGGACGCTACACATATATATACATAAGTTGAAATTAATCTAAGCAGCGCATTAAATTTTATTGTAAATCTATATATATATATATATATATATATATATATGTAACATAAAATTCTATACATATATGTATATACTCTTGTTTTCACTATAGTTTTTAAGCTTTGGTAAAAATATGAAATTTTCAAAATTTGCGCTAAAATCAAGCGTCAATCAAAGAGAACATACACAGTTTCAAATATGTAAATTTACTTGGTTAAAAAAATCTTAAAAAGTAATTATAAAATAGAAAAAATATATATATTTAAAAACAATGCATACGAATTAAATTAAAAACGTTAAAAATTAAATATGTTCAATAAAAAACTATATTAAAAAAATTAAAATATAATATTTTTTATTTCTCATGAAGTCGTGCAGAGCGAATTTGCATATATTGCAAACACATACATAGTATACAAAATATTTGCAAACACTTTCTTTAAATAAAGGTAAAGTTAGGTTATACTGCGAGATGGAGATTCAGTTTAATTTAAGCTGAAGTATTCGTCATAAATGACATCAACGTTTTTGGTGAACTTTAAGAGCGTATTGCTGTATAATTTTGATACTTCAGCGAATCTCCTAGATATCTAAGACGAGTTCTAGATAAGACTGGACAGAAGCATAAGAGGTGTTTCAGCATAAGTGTGTTTCTTAGGGCTTCTTGCACATGATCTTTGCGATCTTTCATGTCCTGAAGACATTCTATTTCACCCTGGTCCGTGTGTCAGCCCTTTCGGAAATTTCATTGTATATCGTTTGTAGTAACTTCCGTATTTCATGTAGTACTTTCTTTAGATGCTAGCATAATGGACAGCAGTTCTTTCAGGGAACCTATTATGAGCAAACGAACGAAAAAAACAAAACCGATAACAATTTGGCAGCTGGTGATAATTTGGTAGGCATCGATGACAAACTTAACTTAAAACTTACAGATTCAAAGGGGGTTAGATCGGAAAATAACAGACCTTGTCCGGCTAAAATCCGTGTCAATTCAACCGGCTATTGTGGAAATCAATTGTAAGCATCGACAAAAGTCATCGCCATTGTTAAGTATTTTATGAAAAAAAAAAAATTTACGTATTGATTTTGAATTAAATGAAGTTGATCGGTACAGTTGACACCACAAAGATATCAGGAGAATATCAAAACAAATAATTCAGGAAATGTTGCCATCCAAGCTCAGAATCGGGATTACGGTGAACCAAGTCACAAATCAATGAAATCGATAGCAAAATTCGAATTACTTTCGCATCCACCGCATTCTTTGGATCTGGCCTCCAGCGACGATTTCCTGTTCTCTGATCTCAAGAGAATGCTTACTGGAAAGAATGTTTGCAGCGATAAAAAGTTATTCTCCGTGGCTAAGATCTATTTTAAAGCAAATGGTAAATCGTACTACATACATACCATTTGTATCGATTACAACTTTTCAGTTTGTCTGTCACGCCATATACTCTAATTGACACGACTTTGTACATATGGTCGTTCGCATCTAAAATCCATTTTAATTCAAAAGCTTATCAAGCTTCAATTAGTGCCAAGATTTTAATATTGTCATCTAGAAAAGATGCTGGTATGTATGCGCAACAACATCCTCAACGTCACGAAATTTCCTTTCACTTGCCTCCATTGTCTATCTAAAAAAAAAAATGAAGCTTTTGAGACAAATTTCATCATTACGTCTGCTTGTAAATATGTATGTATGTATGTGGTCGTTAGCAGCTTACAAAGTTGCAAAACTTAGCAAGCATTAGTGTTGGCTAATTGGCATATTTAATTTGAGAGAGTTTGGCAGATATTGCTGCATCAGTTTAACACACTTTTATACTATTCACGCCACACAGTGAGTTTGGTTGATGTTAAACGTACATAATAATAAAACAGAAAAGTCTTACTTTTACTTTGGATGTCTAGGGATTATACATATACACTTATGCTGGTCGCTGAAAGCGAAATTTTTGATTGCGTTTTCTCAAAGTATATTTTTTAGATAATAATTCTTCCAAATTTCATCGAGATTTGAGCACTAGAGCCAAAGTTACAGCTGTCCACAACGCGCTCCTCCCATCTGCCTACAAGTATGCCCTTCAGACATATAAAAAATTTTTTTCAAAATACCGAATTTTTCCAAAGCATCGGTGGATATAATCACTTAAAGATAAAATTGAGTGTTTTTAGATGTCAGCAGGTAATTTACTGTGGGCATAAATGAGTCAGGTATGAATGAAATTCGTTCACTCTTACCAGAGCCCTTACAAATGAATATTGAAAATGTTATAAAGTAAGTCTATGAGTATGAGGCGAAAACGACGACGAAAATGAATCAGATCCGTTTTTACGGCAGTACGTAACCGAAACGGACAGGGATTCATATGCGACCAACAATTGTAAATACGATATCATTCGTGAAAAATTAACGGATAACTTTATATAAGATAGATTTTAAGGAATTATCCTAGTCTAAAACCCTGAGGATAGTTAAATGGTGATCATTTATTGAGGAAGTACGAAAAAAGTAGTGAATTTCTTTCCTACAGGTTTTATTAAACGGAAATTTGAGTGTATACAAAAATTTTGTAGTTCAATACAAAACGGCAGACACTCATTCACTCTTCGGAATCAGCTCCTTCAAGAGGGCCTCTACGAGCGACACTTATTTTAGGAACTCGTGCAATCTGAACCAAAATACAACACGAGATCTTAAGCTACATAGAACTTGTTAATAAGGACGTAGGTTTTCAGCTTTACATCAATTTTTTCCAAATGGCAGACTTTTATAGAAACAATTAAAAAAATACAGTTCAATTCACTGTATGCTGAAGCTGACCTACTCGAACGCATTTTTGCACTATTCTACCAACTAAGTAATATTTTATATTTTATCCTCTTTGTTCAATAAGAGTACATCAGGACAGAAGGAACCTGATCTAATCTGGGTCCTGGAATTGCTGTCAATTTGTCAAAATTTATGGCTTTTGCATTAACCTTAACCCAACTTGAAGAGGTAGACCATACATAGGTTAAATATGAGTATACCTCCAGAATAATCTCATGCCACGCAATCATTTGTTAAAAGTGGTAGTTGAAATTAAAATATGGCAACTCTAACATTTTTACATTATTGATAATTATATACTTTTTACTTCATTTATAGTATAAATTTTGCCTCAGCAAATCACTCCAACTTCATAGAATATTTCTCCCGCGTGCGTGTGTGTGTTCTCTTTAGGGGCAATTGGAGTTCATCAGCGATTTTCGCACGTCTAATTGGATGGAATTCCCGTGGATGACAGGCGGCATTTAATTGCGCCACATTGGAAAATGTAAATCACTACGTGGCATGTGGCATGCCACATAACGCACAAAAAGATATACCATATAAATAAGAAGCGTGGCACATGCCTAGAAACATAACGGACGGACGGAAAGACAAACTAAAACGACGATACATAGTAGGAAGAAAAAATGTTATACTTAGCAAAAGAGCAAAGGCTTGGAGGACAGACAGCCACTAGAACCACACTAAACACACACACACACACACACCAGTAACGTTATTTTGAGTTATGGTGCGATCGTTTTCTTTTGTCGCCTGCAATTAAAATGAAATAAAGCAAAGCGGGGTTGCGCTATTATTGGTATGTCGCTCCTCTTGTTGTTGTCTTGAAGGGCATACACACATATGTATATATGTGTATGTGTGTGTTTTTGTGTACATGCGCTAGGATTTTTATAATTTAATGGAGCGCACCACCGACCCCGCATGGGGGAGCGTGGCGCATTTCGTGTGATTTATCTGCATTTCACTTGGCTGCTGCGGCATAAATAAATCGACTTAAATCGCGGCAGTGATCATAACGCACAACCACACACACACACGCACACATACTATTGCAACATACACATGCAACATGTGTAGCTGCGCCTAAGTTCATATTTATGTATATTTAATTGCCAGCGCGTAAGCGCATTGACACATGTGCAAGCTATTGAGTTGGGTGCGGGGGTAAGGGGGGCGCGTCAACTGACAGATGCTTTGATTTTCACTTTGACGCTTCCTTGCCAGCGGCAAACGCTGTGTGGTTGTGGTTGTGCCTGCAACTTGCAACACATTTAATTACACACATCAAAACGCGCCATTTATCGGCGGCAGCGGTGGGTTGAGGCAGCGAGCGCCCCTGACTCCATCAAATCCGGCACTTTACGCCGCTAGTCGTTTGATAGTGTTTTTGTTGTTATTTGTGTGGTCGCGCATATTTACAGTTTGTTGTATTAATTGCCTCGCAAGGCGCAGTCACACTACAGAAGTCTACGTAGTTGCAAATAAACCACTTTGTTGCCATCGAAATTTTGTGTGTAATTTTTAATTTCTTTTTAATATTTTTTCCACACGAGTGTTGTTTTTGTAATGCTTTCGTTACCGATTTGAAGGTGTGGACAGTTGGCAGAAATGTGGAAGGCGCTATCATATATTGGCATGTGGCGAATGTGTTGACTATGCGCCACCTTAGATTTATGCATGTTATACTTACATACCTACATACCTAAATATTCATGAAAATTTATGTTAAAAAACCATGCCTTGCAGTTGAAAGTTGGAACTTTTGAAAAATTGCGGTGGAATGCTTTATGCATGGTTCAGCTTAATATTTGAGAAGAGTATTAAAAATATTATCGTATAAGGTAATAGTTATATGGCATTGGGTTGCCATGTATTTTAATTAATTAAAATTTGTTTACATTATAAAATTTAATTATGCTTATAAAAGGGTATTCAAAATTAAAATTTAAAAAATTTTGTCAGGATTGCCATATGTTTTTAATTACGTCGGAAAGTAATTTATTAATTTTTTTATTTGCTGCTAAGCTTGATATTTAAAAAACGTGTCCAAATAAACATTGAATATTAGATGTTTGGCGCAGAGTTGCCAGATATTTTGCCAAATTTTTAATCTATTTTGAGTTCAAAAATATAATAATATATTAGTATTTAGGAAAATTGTAAAATC